GAAAAGCCATTGAAAGTCCTGGAGAAGAAATATTGAAACATACCTCCCTCCTGGTGGTAAAGAGGTAGGGAACTAGGAGAAAAAAATATTGTATTCAATCAGAAGTGGTCACTATATCAGATGATTTTGCTTAATTGTTTTTCTCTGCCTCAAGGGAGGGTTCGGTCTGGATGAGTGTTAAGTTGAAATGACTACGATACAAAGACAAAAGGCAATAAAAATTTAAAAAAAAAAAAGAAAAAAAAAGAGTTCTTGAAATAACCTATAGCATAAACAAACTCATTACCCAGTGTGTGAAATTGGTCAGCATTTCCTCTGCCCCCTACCTTGCTAGGGCCTGCCCCCCCAATTACCTTCCATTTATGTTATGTATAGCCTATATGTACATGGTTGTTTGCATGCTGTCTCGCCTCCTATTAGAATGTGAACTCTTTGATGGAAAGGACTATATTTTGACTTTCTTTGTCTTCTCGGAGCTTGGCATAGTGCCTGACATGTTGTAAATGCTTAATAACTGCTTATTAACTGACTAAAACCAACGTCTAATTCAACTTCCTTGTTAGGTTTACATTTGGAGGCTCAAAATGCCAGTGATGTGGGTGGGAAGGATGCCTCATGTCTGTTGCCTAGCATCAATGAGTCTGAGCCCATGTATCTTGGCACCCACTGCAAACTGCTAGGGAACGTGCCTGGGTATAATTGTCACCGGGTGCACCTTTGTTCTGTTCTGGAGTGTTTTGAATGCATGTCCCTCATAGCTGAAGGCTACTGGGATGCAGTACAGGACACAGGTACTGTTGTAGTAACATCATCTGTTATTTCTTATCCTTTGCCCTTTGACTACCCTACATATGCCTTCTTCCACACCTGTCTTCAGTGAGATCTTTTATACTTCTTGAGTATCAATCATTGTTAGTAATAACTATAAGCTACAGTTCACCATATATCTTTCTATTGCCCTTTGAGGCGGTTACAGTTTTAATTCTTTTCTTGCAGAATCAAAATCATGTTATTCTAAGATTTGTAGCCATATAATGTCACCAGAAGAATATTAGGGTTAAAATATGCATTTTTTGGGCAGCAATTTGGGTTCTTTGTAGGTGCTACATCATTTCCTAGATGTCATTCCCTTCTTTTTCAATTATGGCTGAGGCTCTTTATTCATCTGGAGGACCTGTCTTATTTTGTATACATACATTCACACGTACATAATACATACACATATACATACATACATGTCTATGTATTCATTCAAATGGACCTGCAATCTCATTTATTTGGAAGTTCCCTCCAATGATACAGATCATTACCCATCCATGCCTGCCCATTGTATGGGCCTCTTGTTCATGTCCTCCCCCAAGGTCATGCAATATTCTGGAGGCCTTCCTTGATTTATCCTGTACCATCAATGCATTCTGGCTGGCTGTCTATCATTCTCTCACTGCATAAGAGGGAAGGGAATAAACATTTATTAAGTACCTACTATGTACCAGGCCCTGTGCTAAGCGTTATACAAGTATTATCTCATTCGATCCTTGCAACAACCTTGTGAAATAGGTGCTATTATTATCTCTATTTTACAGAAACTCAAGAAGACAGAAGTTAAGTGACTTGCCCATAGTCACCCAGCTAGTAAATGTCTAAGGTGAGGCACTTTAAATTCAGGTATTCCTGATTTTAGGCTCAGTGCTCTGTCTGCTATGCCATCTAGCTGCTCCAAACTAGCTCATCTATTTCCTTGTCATGCATTTTCTGCATAGCATCTTTTACTTCTGATCTTCCAACTTCCTCAGTGGTTATATTTCCTAGCCTTCTCACACCCACAAAATACATCTCCACTGTCCTTTATGTGATATTAATTTTTAACTTCATGTGTTGCTGCCATACAGCAACCTTGGAAGAATGTTGGTATTATAAGGGTGGACCTCTGCTTCCATGAAAAGCTTGGATTTATTAAAGGAGTTTTGTAATTTCCTGGAGGCAGTTCCACTCATTCTCCTCTTCCTGTTAAATTCTGGGCCCAAAACATTGTCTAATCAAATCTCTTTTCCAGACTTACATACTGATTTATATTTGGAAAATAAACATTCTTCATCCATTTGGTATTTCCTGTGTGGATGGACAGGCCAAACTCTTGGGTGTTCATACAGTTCTTCCAGGAGGTTCTGCAGCATTCCAGGGCTTGATGCCATCAAAATAATGTTATCTGCAAGCAAGCATCTGGAGGATCTTACCATCTACAGAGAAATCCTGTTTAACTTGGGCTTTGGGGTGGATCCTCTCCCTCACAGTGGTGAAAACCTTCAGTGAGCTTATATTTCCTTTTTTGCCTTCTCTAACATGTACGATAGGAGGGTCACAGAACCATGTTATTTTTATTGTTACATGTTTCAAGGAATCTTGAATCTGTGCATGAGGGACACCTTATGGAAAAAGAAGCTTCAGTGAACTATATTGCTGAAGTATAAGCAGCAAATAATAAATAATATATGATCTTATATTCTCCAAATCTTTTAGTCAGTTGCATAATAATAAGATACGGTACACTGTTGAACATTTGTTTGTGAAATCTTGCTTATTCCCTAATGATACACTCATGATGCCTTTTATTTTTATACAAATGACTCCTTACAATCCTACTCTGCTGCCTCATTGTGGTGTGGAGGTGGCTCTGGATTTTTGAAGAGTATGCCAGAATAATATAAGCTCCGGAAGTTTCTGCCATATTGTAAAATTTTTGAGTATGACTGGTAGCATTCCAGGGACCAGCCTAGATAAATCTCCAGAGGCCTATTACCAGTGTTCTGGCTTCTTGATGATGATGATTATTTTTTTTGGACATTGTAACCGATAGGGGAAGAAAGATAAATACAAAATGGTCCTTGGTCTCATGTGACCCCTTTATACTTCTTCAGTGTAAGAAAAAGGGGCAGAAGAGGCTACGAATCACACACTTTTTAGACAAATGTGAAATACTTATCCAGTGACCTATGAGTGGACACATTGCTAGAGAAGCTGAATCAAATCTGTCTTGACATTCTTGCTATAATGGAAATCAGAAGAAGGAAGAAAGTTGCAGATAAATGAAAGGATGGGTTACAGTTATTTCTTGGACTTGATTTTATTGAATGTCTAAAACAAAACACTATTTCATGGGCTACTTCTGCAGATCTAATGATAAGCATTTTCAAAAGTCTAGTCTGAAAATAATTGAAACTTGTGCATCCACATTAGTGGCTTAGGATGAAGAAGTCAAGACGTTTTATGAAGAACTCACTAATACTCTCCAAGTTAGATCAATATGCTTCTGATACATGGAGACTTCAATGAAAAGGTGAAGTTGGCAAGAAATATATGGGAAAACATGCTTCAGGAAAAAAGAATGAGAGGCCAATGCTTTGTAAATTGTGCAGAAGGATTATGCCATTATATCATGAAAACATTCTTTGAGAAAAGAATTGATAAGTGCTGGACATGCTGTACTCCAAATAACATTGCAAAAAATGAAATAGATTTTTTCCACACTGCCTTTATGTCACTGAAGAGTCCATTTGACTTTCACATGATGCCATACTTCTTTTGACTTAAATTCCCATCAAGAAAACTGAGAAAATCTCACTATTGGACGTTCTAGTTGATTGGCACAACTTCCTAACCTGTAAGCATGATGACCATAGTGGATGAGAAGAAAGTTTTGTTAAAAGAAGAAAATAGGGGCAACTAGGTGGTGCAGTGGATAGAGCACTGGCCCTGAAGTCAGGAGGACCTGAGTTCAAATCCGGCCTCAGACACTTGACACTTACTAGCTGTGTGACCCTGGGCAAGTCACTTAACCCCAATTGCCTAAAAAAATAGAATAAAAGAAGAAAATAATTATAACAATTCTATAAAAAAAACCAAATCACAGTAAATAAAATATAATGGAATATGGGTAGTGGTATGTTGGCACTGGCTCACAAGAACTAATTGTTAAATTTTCAGTGTATGCATTTATACCTTGGAAATTAGCAAATGACACAAATCAGAGCTTGATTTATTGTTTTGTTGATTGTCTACACTTAAAAAAGGGACAGATGAAATGTTAATAATGCAGATTAAACTCAAAAGTGTGTCCTGCACTCATTCTTCATAACCCCTCCCCTGGATGGTTGTTAAACATTTACCAGCACACCCCTGAGTAGGGGACTTGCCTGGGAATTAGAAGACTTTGATTCCAATCTCTGGTCACCCTCCAATGGATGTACTGTACTTTTCCAATGATCCTTAAAGTTCTCCAAATTGAGTACAATACCTCAGATGCCTAACCATCACAGAGTGGTGCCCTTACTTCTCTTGATCTAGAAATCACAGTTCTTTTAGTGCAGACTAAGATTGCAATAGCTTTTGTTTGTTTCTTTTCTTTCTTTCTTTTTTAAATAGCAGTTTGTGGTTAATATGTCCTTCACCTGTGAATTACTGTCAAGGCAGGTCTCTTTCCATCCCATAATTGTGCAATTGATTTTCTTAGCTCAAACTCAGGTCATTATAATTATTCATCTTAAATTTTCATCATGTTAGTTTTGATCTTGACATTCTGTTAGATATTTTAGCATTTTAACTCATCAGAGAAGGATCCTATATTTAGATTACTAGTTGTTAATGTTTGTACAGGCCTAAAAACCTCTATGATTTTGAGTCCCCCTTTCCCACTGTTTCTTCATTGTATCACTGCCAAAGTAGAAAATAAAGTATATAGGACTAAGGTTACGTAAGGCCACTTTGTATTAGTATCTGTGTCATTGGTCTTTATAGCCAAAGAGTTCGTAAGTTGGCATTCAACCTACTGTCCATATTTAGTTGGGTTGGTTTTGGGATGCTAGCTATTGTCCATTGCTTGCTCTATATCCAAATCCATTCTAATTTGGTATAAGTTGCCAGAGCTGCATTCCATTGGCATGAGTCAAAAAGCCAGAGTCACCTCCAGGCCATGATAAAAAATCACAATAGGAATTTTATGGAGGGAAAACATGAGAAACTTCATAAATTCACATGTAGACCATGGACAAGATCCATACTCATATTTTCTGTATCATTCCAGTTTTAGTATATCTATTCAGGGAGGAAATTAGACATGAATTAATGACTGGAATCAGCATATCGATGGGATCACAACTCCATTTTAAGATCATACTGTAGATTTCTAGATAGGCATCCAACCCTGTGGACTATTAAGTACCACTCCCCAGTCTGTTTTACTAGGTTTATTTCTTTGGAACAAAGCCAATTCTTCCACTTTTATATTCTAGTCATGAAACCTCTTCTATCATTAATACTGAGTTTTTAAACTCTGGTATACCTTTTGACTCTTCACAGCCTATCACCCATGTCTAGCATTTTCTCTTTCTTCATTTCTGGCTTCTCTTTCACTTCCTCTTTGGCTTCCTTCTCTCAGCTAAAACTTCACCTTCTACAAGAAGCCTTTCCCAAATCCCTTAATGCTTGTGCCTTCCCTCTGTGATTAGCTCCAATTTATCCTGTCCATGCCTTGTTTGTACAGAGTTTTTGTTTTTAACACATTATCTCCCCCATTAGACTGTAAGTTCCTTGAGAGCCTGGACTATTTTTTGCCTTTATTTTCATCTTCAGCTTTGAGCACAGTGCTGAAACGATAAATGTTTATTGACTGACTGACTTCAAGAAACATGTGTCCAGAAACTGAAGTATTTTCAGAGTTGCAGAAAAAGGGTCGAAGAATTACCCTGCTTCTAGCTTGCCTATAAACATTAGTTGAGCTGTCAGCCCTCAGTGGGAAAACTCTGTCTGGCAACCAGTGAATTGATATACTTCTGGAGGAACTCAACCACATTTATACCAACATTCTCAGTATAAATGAAACCAGAAAATAAAATAAAGCTGCACTAAATGGAAGGATGGCTCATAGGTTTTCCATGGGGAGAGGAGTAAGAGAGTTGGCAAAATGTGTTCAATCATGTGCCCCACAGCAATGAGAAATATGATTTCACAAGACAATGCCTAGTATGTAGTAGGTACTTAGTAAATGCCTCATTATTGATTGGCATTTGGTTTTCTTACTTTGTAGTGCTTATGATGAGCATAAGCAATTAGAGCAAGAAGAAGAGAATTATTTCTAGAATGCAATTTAAAAAAGCACTCTTAAGAGATCGGTGGCAAAGGTAAATCTTTGTATTTTAAAATACAGTTCTACATCTCAGCTCCCTCCAATAAAAGTATACATCAATTTTTTCATAAGCAAGAATCTCACTAATTGACTTAATGTTTTGGCTAATGCAATGGGCGGGAACAAAATAAGCCATTTCTTCAAAACATGACGTGCTGTGTGCAACTGGCCTTTTGTGCCTTATCTTTAGTCCATCATATCTGAAGATAGACTTTACTTTGAAAAGTTTCCTGTTTACTGTTGTGTGAACTGTTCAATATGTTTTTAATCTGTGAACACAGAAGTTAAGGACCCTGAGCCCTGGAGTGCTTTTTTTAACTGCTTTCTAGAAATAATTCTCTTCTTCTTAGATTGGCATTCAAGGTCTTCCACAAAATGGCTGCAATATCACCTTCCACTACTTGCCTTTTTGCACCCTACCAACTCAAGGCAAATTGGTCTGTTTTCCATTCCACCAACATATCCTTTACTGGTGTTGCATCCAGGCCTTTGCTTCCATGGTTTCCCAAGTCTCAAATGCTCTCTCTCTCTCTCTCCCTACATCTCCAGCTGTTAGAACCTTACCCATCCTTCTAAGTCAGGTTCAAATGCCATCTCCATCGAGAAGCTCTTTTTCTCATCTGAAAGTGATTTTTTTCTCTCCTGTGAACTCTGATGATTTCTATCTTACATCTCTCTTACATACATATAACTTACATTTAAATGTTTATAGAGCATCCCCCCCCCATGACAACCCTGAAATAGGCAGGTCAGTGAAAGTATTTTCATCTTCATTTTAAAGATAAGGAAACAGAGAGTCTTAAAAATTCAGTAACTGGCCCAAAGAACTTGGAACTAGTAAGTGGCAGAGCCTGGATTTCAACGTGGGCCCTCTGAGTCCAAGCCTAATATTTTTCTCTCTATGCCAAAACTTATGACTTACTGGTTTTAGAGTAATTAATTGTATTATGCTACTACATTTCTTTTGTGTTCATATAGACAGTACCTTCTTTGTGGGTAGAGTCCATCTTTGTGATTCCCACAGTGCTTTGCTTAGTGCCATAAGCATGATATCACGGAACTTGATAAATACTTGTTGGTAATTATTTCCGCTTAACAGAATATACCATGTTTCCCTTTCTGTACTGTTTATATGGCAAGCTACAATAAAATATGAGGAAATGATAGATATATAAATTATAACAGTTTTTGGGTATTTAGAGTTACAGACTGTAGCCCAGAAGCATGGTCAGGGTTGAAAATGTAGGTTTGTGTGTAATCAGTATAGAGGGGATAGTTGAAAAGGTAACATGGGAGAGCACTGAAGAAAAACTTGATTGTCTTCACGCTGTTGCTAAGGGCTGGCTCTGCTTTGCAGTTTCAAAATCAAGCAGGTAGCACAAAACCTTTATGACTTTTGTTTTTTCCCCATCTTTTACTCATCTTCATGATTATTATTTCTTTAAATTCAGGAATGCATCATTTAAATTTAACAAAGTACCATTGGCTGTGGTCGATCTATCAGCACTTACCCACCAAGAATATTTCCTAGCTCTCTAGAGCTTGGGCAATATGAATGACTCCCTTCTTATTTGAATCTCCACTGGGAATCATGCCAAATAATTTGATTTAGAGATGGAAAGGTTCTTAGAGTCCTTTCCTCTTCATTGGACAGGTGAAGGAAACTAAAGCCAAAAGAGGTAGTGTGACTTTCCCAAGGTTATGGAGGTCAAAAGTACAAAACTCAGAATTCACCATCAAGGTCCTGTGTTATTTCCACTAACCCAAGATACAGGTTGTACATTGTGTCAGGTAGTGAGGTGGCTGTACCACAGGACTGTGTGAGACTTCACTTCTACTTAGCACTGTCCAGTGGAGAAGTTCCTTTGACTTTAGAAGACCAGAACTGATTCTTAGACAAATCCTTAAGTTAGAGAATGTAAATTCATGAAAGAATTCAAGTTTGAGGGAAACTTCCTTTAATCTATATTGCTCTAGTTGTATACTTGTGAAACAGTCTTCTAATTCTGTAATTTGTTCTCCTAAGAAGAATGGTCCAGCAAATAGTGCCTTATGGAGGAAGTGATGTTATACTTTGCCATCTATACCTCTCAGCTCCACCCCCACTAACTCATAAGTTAATAAACTGACATGTCTTCACACCTTGATCCCAAGTGGCTTGACCAGGGTGGCATCCAACAAGAGGCAGTCAGCCAGTCTCTGTCTCTGTCCCTCTCCTCTCAGTGTTTGTGTCTGTCTCTGCTTCTGTTTCTGTGTCTCTGCTCTTTCTCTCTGTCTCTGCCATTCTCTCTGTGTCTTTGTCTTTCTGTCTCGTATCTCTCTCTGTCTGTCTTGTGTCTACTCTCACTCTATCACCTTGCATCTCACATCTCTGTCAACTTCAAGACTGGCAGCCCTGACTTTAGTGATGGAGATTATAAAATCCAGAAAAAAGTGAATTCTTGCCTTCCTTCCCTTAAAATCTCTTATTAATTTAGCTGTCTTTTGACATACATGGGATGCATTGCAAAGGAAGACAGAAGAAACTTCTCAGTTCACGGTGCAGGAAGAAACATGATATGGTGGGAATAATGCTGGATTTTTAGTCAAGGAACTTGGCTATTGATTTTTGCTTTTACTTATTATCTGTAAGACCTTGGGTAAATCACTTAACCACTCTCAGTCTTACTTTCTTCACCTATAAAAGGAGGGATATAAAAGGATGATATCTAGGGTCCTCCCAGCTCTAAATCTATGCTCCTATGAATGATCTTTGAAGGTACAGTACATGAACTTGGGCCTCATGAGTCAGTATAATATGCTTTGGGAACAGTAGAGAGGAGAGTGCCTCGATAAATGTAGATCTGAGGTTAATAGTATTTCACAAAGGAATAGTTCCCAGAAACTCCCCCTGTTATTTATATTGGTAGATGTAGTTTCTCAGTATTAAGGAGGCTTCATGGAATAGTGATTGTTAGAAACACTGGAATGGGAATGAGAAGATCTGGGTTAGACTAGATCATTCAAGTTACTCCCAATTCTAAGAGTCTACCATTTTCTATATTTTAGCTTGGACACTTAATAGTTGTATAACCTGAGAGGTAAATTACTTTTCCACCTAGGAATGCACTCTAAGCCTCAGTTTTCTCATCTGTAAAATGAGCATACATTTACTTATACTACCTACCTGCTAATGGTATTATGATGATTAAAATGGCATGATTTATGTCCTTGTTAATTGTTAAGTGCCAAATAACAAATGTGGGTAGGTGTAATTATTATTTTGAGAATGAAATCTATCACAAACCTCTGTACCTAGGAGTCAGGATCTCTCATCTTTACTTGATTAAGAAAATTCTTTAACTTAAAAAAAAAACAAACAACTAACAAATCTATAAGGTGCTGTAGGAAGAACAAATGCTGTAATATGAGGATTTAAGTTATTATGTTAACAATCTGAGAATTAGAAAGAAATTGACTAAAATGATGTTCAGGGGGTAGATTTTATAAAAATATAATACAAATTGATTCAAATCTTTAATTATATAAAAACTGACTTCTTCTGATAAGCCATCTGCTGGGAAAGAGTTGGGGAACAAACATTAGTGTTACTGGAAGGTCATGTTATGAGGAATTTTTCAAACAAATGGTAGTTTGCCTCATTAGAACAATATATTTGTGGCTGAAAACCCAGATGGATTTTTGAGATTAAAATTGCAAATTCAGGAGCAATTACATATTCAACTGTATATTGGTGGTGTGAGAGTTAATTCATCTGAAGAATTTCTGTGTTGATTTCTGACAAGGCTTATGATAAGGATCTAGTCTTAAGGGGAGAAATGGGCCAAAGTTCTAAATCCAATGGTTTATGTATTCTGTAGAAGAGTTCTGGAAATACTTATCATGAACTTGGAGGGAAATCAGGAATAGCTATAAAACTGAAAAGTGAGT